AACAATACATCGAACAGTGGTAGCGAGTCACCACGACCGATGCGCAAGCGATTCGGTAGCGCTAGCGAGGAGACGATACTTAAGGTCTGTAACATTCCTCGGCATAACATTCGGTACTATTGAAAATTTTGTATTTAATGTGGCATTTCTTTTTGTACAGCAGGTTAATGGCGATGGTCTGTCATTGGCTTTATCAAGCACTGAGTTGGACACTTTAAAGGCTGATATACTGAAAGAGATTCGCTCTGAGATACAAAAGGTCAAACAAGAAATTATAGAAGGTTAGTCCTGATACACACATCAGCTTTTCACTCACTTTCACCGTAAATATATATAATAACATATATAACATTGAAATTTTGCAGTTATAAAATCCGAATTCAATCGAAGATAAGATCGGCAACAGGCTGGTGCGAGCAGCTTTAGCAGCCGCCGAACGGTGATCAAAAATATATTTTTCGGTGATAAAGTGAAGTAGTTGGATGGGTGGAATGTATTGGAATCCTTTGTGGACCTATTTGTTTTAATTTAGCAACAAACTGAAGTTTGCAAACAACAACAAACATTCTTTTATATATATATATATATATATATATATATATATATATTATCTACAAACGTTTAAATGGAAAACGGAATACTTACTTCCATAATTATACATAAAAGCTAAGATAAAAATAACACACATTACTCAAGCTAAATATATAGCTTCGGATATCAACAAGTTATGTAGCACGGCTGGTGCTAATCTAAAGGATCATAACAACACAACCATATTAACAAGTAACGAATAAACAATGAACTGAATACGTATTGAAAATTTTTAAATAAATACAAAATTTAATGTAGTAGTAAATAATACCAAAATAACAGTGAAAATGATATCCCAAAACACACACACTTACTCAAATTGCCGGCGTTTTCGTGTTCATTTACATACCGAAGTATGTACGCATTGTACTAAGTATCKCGAAAAACCCTTCTTCGCGAAGCAAATAGTACGTTATCAAAACGCAACACAACGCAACGCGTTCAAACAGCACGTGGGCCATCCACGTGGTACATGTTAATGTCGCTTTGTGTAGGTGAATGCAAGCAAACGTTTCATATTTCGAAAATATCTCTCGAAGTTGAATCTTCSTACTATAAATTTATTAAAAATTCGTATTAGATAAAAAAAATTAATACATACATACAAAAAAAAAAAACATTTAAGTGTAATATATCGTTGCTCGCTCCATGAATCTACAAATAATATATACAAAATTTGAGGAAAAAATATGTTCAAACTGATCATACGATGTTCGCTGTATTTATATTACATTTACTATAGACATAGTTTTACTATTAAAAAACAAATTTGAACAAATAGTATAATTATCCACATACATACATAGACTTAGTTGAATGTGTATATTTCTTGTGCTTTATTTTGGCTAAACGGCATACTTCGTAAGTTGTCTTCAGGTGGTAAATCAAGCAAGTCTCTCGTACAAAATTTGCCAATATGTATTATTTTCTATGTAATTATCTTTATAAACCGCCGCATTCATATTCTCAAATTCTATAGTTCCTTATCATATTCGCAGCAACTGTAAGATAAYTTTCCATTTTGTAGCCAAACGCGTTTTTAGTCCGGCTGCGAACATCAAAAACTGCAAACTTGGATTCTATTAACCCAATTATGTATGATATATATGCGTTTGAAAGGAACAACACATAAAACATAAAAATGAGCGCATTGTTTGTAATGTAATGACACCGCCAAATTTTGTATTAGATTTTTTTATACACACACATACGCATATGTTAACATATACATACATATGTTAAGTATATGTTTTAATTTCTATTACTTAAATGCATTTTTATTTCTTTTGCACGTACACACCGTTCTGTGTGAATTATTTATAACGTATACTTATACATATATATACATATATACATACATACATAGTTATAGTGCGATTTAAGTGCATTCATGCGACCATTCATTAATATTATATGTACTACATAGCAATTAACTAAACAATTTGTAAAGCAAAAATATAGAAAAACAATGAAAAACAACAAAAACTAAACACAAATTCGATTACATACCAGAAGAGAACTGCTTTCTAAATGTTACTATTACTATTATATAATATGCATACTCTGATAATAATACAATATATCAAACGTGAATAAAACCAATGAAATGAACGAATAAAAACATTCATGAATTGTAAGAGATTAAAACTAAAAAAGTACTAAAAATAATTGTTAATATATAAGTACATATGTACACGCGATTAGATCGACGCAGCGAAGGTGAGCATAAGAATTTGGCCGAAATATTTGAAAGCGTAAATTCGTAGATTCGAAACTTCTTCAAATAAGTAGTGAGTAAGTACAGTAACACTAAAAATTATGATAAAACGAATACTTGCAGATTATACGCGAAAGTGAGCGCTCATAGCTGTAGCTATGTCTTTTTTACAGTTATAAACACATTTTATTTACTGGAAATTAGAGAAATCGAAAAAATTTCAAAGTTGTGGTTTTAGTGAGAGACACAGCAGTATAAAAAAACCGTTTTTACTTAAGTGGTTGCACTAGAGACCTATAATAACTTTCAATTTACATTTGTTTTCTAAGATAATGCGATATTCTATATACCGTACTTTGACATAGTAGAGCGTGTCTTCCAGCCCATTGTGATGGATTGTGCTATGAAGCTGAAATATTTGCTATGTTATTAAAAATATTGATTTCCATATTTTGACTTTCATACAGCCGCTGGGCTAGTTTAAGCAATGTCCGTATTTTCGAAAGCATTCGAAACCTCTCCCACGGCGTCAGCTTAAAATTTCGAAAATGCAGCGCACTTCTGCACGCTTCAAACATCAATCAGTTGACAACAAGTCTGCAAATAGTAAAATTGTTTTAGAGTTTCCACATATACAAATACAAAATATAGGCCATAGTAAATGCACTACATACAAACACATGGATTTGTGCAAAAAAGTGTGCATTGTATGGCAATACAGTTGCGAGTAAAGGAAACCAAACTAGTGAGTAAGTTTAAATAAATGTAGTTTACATAAGCACAGCGAAGTAAATCATTCGAAATGAAAGCTGTGAAAAGCAGCATATAAAGAATGTATGTAAGTGTTGAGTAGTAATACCAGTAAATACTTCCGTATGTGACTAAGTTGATAACCTCAAAGGCGGGTGGGGACGCGAGCCGAAAATCGAAAGAGTCGTTTTTGTTCTGGATATTATAGTTGTGGTGAATACGGACTTCTATGTTATACTGATTAAAAAATTCAGCTCAGCAAGTGTGTACAAAGGCTTCTCAGCTGCTTACCCACTTTGTTTCCTTGCAGGAACCCACCTTTGTTTGTGAACCCACGGCGTACTATGTGTATTGTTGTATGTACTACATGTATGATTTTATTCTGAGCGATAAAAACTACAAAAGSCACAAAAGAAGTTGTATTAAACTAAAAACTTTGTCACATCCTTGTTTATAATAGATATATGTGTATGTAACACCACTAAACACGCTTAAAATCTAAGTAATGTAATAAGTTTTTAATTTAAACAAATACAGAATAAGGGAATAACGAAAAATGCAAACAAGAAGCGATGATTTTTTACAATTGACATTTAATTGATAATTTAGTAATAATAAAGTGTTGTATATACATACATACATACATGCGAAATCTACTTAATGCAAAGAATAAGAAGGAGAAGGAATAACTGCAAAATAAAGAAAACATATTCAAGACGATATACAAAGACTATCAAGATTCATATGAACATACACACTTATGCGGCACACCAAAAATTGACAAGTAGTTAAAATACAAACACGCCACTGAGCGTTGCATTTCCACACACGAATAAGTAACTCAGCATTTCGAAAGTAAAAAACGATTTCAAAGTAATAATTGACATGCATATATGCAATCCAATACATATGGTAATACAAAAGCAAAATAGACAGAAATGAAATAAAGCCAAAAAAAGTTTATGTAAAATAAAACAACAACAATTGTGTATATTTGAACAATTTGAATAAGGCGTGGGTTGGGAGAGTTGCTACGCTGCGGATGAAGCACTTTTGTAGGCTTGCAAGCAAGCACGTTGCGTGAAAATGCACATCATATCTCCCCACATCACATCACAGTTGTAAAATGAATATCAACAATCAAAATATATTTTCTACGTTCTGCTYCGGACTATAAAAGGCAAGTATCTTTAATAGTTTACCAAAAATACCAGTTTGGTTCGTTATGTTGAACTTATTTGAAACTTGTGAAGAGGTTAGGTGTATGCACTCTTAACGCCTGACGCTGAATGCCACAATTATTGATTAACTTCTGAAGTATCTATCAGTTTGCGCTAGTTCCTAGAGAAAACGGTGCATTCAGCTGTTACTGATAGTTCCTTCAGTTATTACATTAGTCTTTACTTTCACAACTTTAATTTGTATTTTTTTGTTATTTTCTTTCTATTTCAGTCGTAAACTTTAATTCCAGTAGCTTTTATGTGAAATTTGAAACTGCAAAATGCCGTTAATAACTGCAAAGCTTCTAGCTGCTGAAGTATATACCCAGGCGTTCATGAAATAAACAAAATGGACTAAAACGGTTAAATTTAACTTTAAAGCTCCGCACACGTCGCAAAGCTCAGCAATAAACTTTTTGATGATTTGTAAAGCTGTTAGAAAATAGCAATGTATGCGTGAGAGAGCTGCGAGCGCCAAAACAATTACATTGCGAGAATGGCAAAAAGTTGTGTGCTGTGAAGGGCGCATGTGGAGAACTGGGGCAAATAATGACGTGTTTTAAGCGAATCTGTGTGTGTAACCGTGCGAAGGSAGCAGGCAGCAGGCAGCTTTGCAAAGTTGCCATAAAAGCAGCAAAAACATTGAGTGAGTATCTGAGTGCGTGCGTGTGCTTGCTTATCTTATAGATTCTCGTTTGCTTGAGCAGACTTTAGTTTGAAACTGAAACTCTGCGAGTAAGGTACGCTTTGCGGCAAACAAACCTAACACAAATATACAATATAAGTGCTGTGTGTTCAAAAGAATGGAAAAGAAATAATTATAACAATAAAGCCAAAGTAGAGACTAACTAAAATGTGCGCGCCGTCGCTGATTTTCGGCAAAAATACACTTGGATGTTTAGTGTGTGTTGAGTGTGTGTGTGTGCTACGAATCGCTACAGTTTTTTGTATTTAATGTGTTCTAGCTTATTTCTGCGTTCTCTGCCCCCCACCCTACTACATATTTTCTGTTTGCCAACCCCCATTTGGATAGCTCTCGAAGTGGTTAAAACGTGGAATGAGTATCTACAACTATACAAAATGTATTTCAAAAATCCATCTCTGAAACAACAAAGCCAACATGCTATTTATTCCATTAAAAAAAAAATCGAACAGCTGATATCATCGTTGCAGCAGCCACCAACCACTATCCACTGTGCAGCAAGCGCCCCTCTTTTGGCCACGATTTGTCAGGTTTTTATTGACATAACAGCAAAGTGAAGGCACCATATTGATACGCTCGGTAGCCAACAAAAACCAGAAGAATGTGTACAAATATTTGTACATACATATGTACATATGTATATGTGTAAATTTGAAAATTAGAGAAAACAATAAAAACAAAATAATAATTATAAATCTGAAAATCCGAAAAATATACGATATATGTATGTACATAAGTATATGAATATGCTCGGTTGCACATAAGCACACACACACAATTCAAATGAAATACTGTAATCCATTAAATTGTATTTTAAAGAAAAAATTCAAAAATBATATTAAATGAAAGGAAACTAAAGTGGCTGCCGCCCAAAATTTTTAGCCATAACAAACAAATGCGCTATTTTTGTCACTCAATAACCATTAGCATTAGCGAATTTATAGCGACCGAATTCCGTTGATATGCGCAAGGCATTCCCGGGCGTCGTAGCCCACATGATAAGCACATTGTTTACTAACAATAAAAAATAAACGTTGAAGTATAGAAATTCATAATTAAAAAACATATACATATACATACATGTATGTATGTACATACATATGTATATGTAAGTGCAAGTGGTATTTTGAAGTGGAGTARCTTTTCAAACACCTTGTTGGTAAACAAATTTGTGTTGTTCCACGGCACTAATTAGTAATAAGAGCAAGAGTTGAATCTGCTGCCGCTGGCATAGTCAAATATTGCAATTGAAAAAACTAAATTAAAAAAAAAAAAAAAAATATTTCATATTCTTGCAGTAAATTTTACCGCGCGTAAAATTCTGATATCTCCATCGACTATACTCATGCAAATTGAACGTAAATTGAAGCAAACTTAATGCAGCCGCTGCAGAGGAAGGCACACTGAATTCATATTGACGAGTTCATGGCTACGATAGCATATCGTAATTGGTCACAAAAGCGATAATCGAAAAAACAAAAATAAACCAACTCCAACAACAACAAACGTCGAATATATGTACGCAAAAACCGAACTATTATAGATAGAAAAGCAATTTTTTTCGCAAAAATAAAAATAAAACAGTGAAGAGAAGCCATAAAATTTATAAGTAAATAAAGCTTACAAAATTCAACATAACAAATAATAGAAACAGAAAAGAGAACTCTTCAACGAGCACTTTTCCTGCTGTCGCGTTTCGATACGTGCCGTGGTGCAAATGTATAAGTGCTTGTAGAACAGCATCTTGTAAGCAGTAAATATAGTATATATACTGTGTTCACATATATACACACGTATGCGCATCGTGATCAGCGCGTCCTTACCGAACTCGCAGCAATTCAACTAGTGGCCTTGCTCCGTTGTACTCGCACAACGCTCATCCTTTCACAACGTTTAAGTCACAAACTATCAATCGAGTGAGTTATCCGCTTTGGCATACGCTTTAATACAAGCCTCGCTGCTGCCTCACTCTTTGCTCCATTACTTACTTATATACAGACTTATGCACATACCACTGCTACATCTATATATCTATAATTGTGTTAATAATATTATTTTTAGCTCTCATATATTCCCCACATACCCTGTTTGGAATTCGTTGTACAAAAATTTCGCTTAATTTTTAAAATTATTTATTTTTTAATACTTTTTTAAATTTGTGCTTTCGTGAAATTGTTTTTATTGTTGGAGAATACTTTTYACCAACGAGGAGTGATTTATATTCTTGGTAGATCGTTCTTTGTGTGAAAGGCATGATTTTTTGACATTTTATCACCGTAAATATATACGTAATCATGTGTATGACATGCGTCGGCTTGATTCGGTCGATGCACCTGTCAAAAATGAGAAGGATAAGAAATAACAATAACTGCAATGCTTAAGTGGAAGGCATACAGCTCTGYGGCTGCGCCTGAAATAACGGATTAATGCGCGGCAATAAAGATAGTTTTTGATCTTAAAATAATATTGGGTAGTCGAAAAAGCCTTTCGTATTTCTAATCAAACTCCAACTTATTATTTTTTAAAATTTATAATAAATAAATAAACAACTATGTACCTGTTTGGTCGACCACCTTTTGCCATTTTGCCGCTAGAGACATTATTCCATCAGTGTATCTCAAAATTTCCAGAACGGAAGCGAGCCAAACACAGTTGTGCTACAACATTATCTCCGTAAACTTCACAAATTTCATTGGTGGCTTGCGTGGCATTCTCCCCTTAAAGAAAAAACTAATAATAATATAGCGAATTTCTTCATTTTTGAACGGCTGTAACTTTTTTCAACTTCCCAAATTTAATATATTTTTTTGGTTAAATGAAGCTTAAGATCTCAACCTTTAACAAAACTATATGGTATGACTCAATGTGATACATAGTACTAGACATATGCAACGACATCTATTGACAAAATACGAAAATACTTTTTCGACTACCCAATATTAAAATAAGTTTACTGATGATATCCGAATTTACCGAAATTACGAAATTGGCGCTTACTAAATTTATTTGGTAATACATATCTATCTATGTATATGTATGTCTGTATCTGTTTTGACTAACTCCACTAGCACACACATATATTTAGGACGTTTTAACTTGTGTTTTTTTGTTTCGTATTGATTTAACAACATTTTCTAAACAACATTTTATTTAATTATTTTAGCATTGCTTTTGTATGAAAACCACAAATCGAATACAGTCCATAGCAGGCAGTTACATACATATATTTTRTGTGTTTGATATGCATACATGGGTACATATGTACATATATTGACAGCAAGCGTGTGGAAAAAACAATATTGTATTAAAAAAGTTTATCATATTTTTCATGGTTTCACTTGCTTACTGTCCATTTTATCTGCTTTTCCTCTTGTGCGGCTTAATTCGTGTACATTTTTATACACCTAACCACATGCATATACACATATGGATGAATGTACCTGAACAAACAATTGAAAACGAATAAAAAAAAACAAAAAAAAAAAACTAATTAAACTTTTTAACTCACCCATGAATAAAAATCTTTGACACATCTACAACAACAAACAACTGCTACGCATAAATAACTTTCAAAAATCGAAATTTTGAATTTGCGCACGACCGACAACTACACACTAATTAAATATTTGCAATAATACTTGGTACAACGCAACCCGTTGACGGATTTGGGCGCCTCTCATACGTCGACCTCGCTATGGAACACATTTAATGGCATGTAAGTAACTTCCTTTTTCTAAAAACTTTACAGTACATAATCTTATGATGTAATATAGAAGCTTWTGCATGGACAAAAGAGCAGCGATTTCATCGCTTAAAAATATTTATTAAGCTGCTCTGGTTAGTTATACTCTGCTCTTTATTACGCTTTCAATTCCATACAAACAGACTGCACAAGGAGAGTTTGTAAGAGTCATTTTCGGCTAAACTACCAAAACTGGGTCACGTTATCCRCTAACAAATTGCTTCATGATGAGCAGTCGTTAACAAGGAGTCCCAAACCGACTATTACCACGCAAGCCCTATCACTTACACCGTTGCCACCCAGTTCAAACACATGTAGATATATCATACATTTATATAAGCATTTTTTTTGCTATATCTTTATACCCACATGTACATATATGGGAACTCATTATAAGAGATGGAGTTACCTACGAAATTGTGGTTACGAAATCTAAGATTTTTAATACTCGTAWAGAGCAGGAAATATACACATACTTGACTTGTGGTTTTAAAAATTCAGTTTTTTGCATGGAAAATATTTAATTTGAAATTCTTTGGTCAGTTAGTTTTCTTTCCGTAATTATTTTATTGCGTTCCTGGCACACATTGTAGCGGCAATCTTCTTTCGTCCTTTTTGAACCCTTCAAGCACTCACAATTAGAACAAAAGCAAACATTAAAACTGATAATTTCCCTTCTCCTTGGTGTTCGAACAAGTTAAATTACTGCAATTGTCTCACATTTCTCCATATCTTTTATGCTCTGCGCCATTTATCCGTTTTTTCTTCATAACGCACACATTTTTCCTTGACTTCTTTTTCTTGCTGTTGTTGAACTATTCCTTCCACYATTCGACGCCACTAACCCAGTTTGCCACATCGACTTTCAGTTGTTGAAATTTCCGTATCGAAGGCAACTTAGCCCCAATTTATTTACKAAGTTCACATGAAAATGTGTATACTCACGTGCTACAGTAATAAAAGGTTCCTACTGTGTTGCTGGAAGCATTGACAACGTTCAAAGAATGTGTGTATGTTTTTAGACTCGCTGGCACCAGTGTTTCCGCTGCACCCTGCGCAAGCTCCGATCGGATTGAGCGGCTGCAGTCGACCGTTTTGTTTACAAAACACACCACTTTCGTCCTTTGGCATCTACTAACGCAAATATATTCAAGTTGTATAGGTACATACATATGTACGTATGTATGTATGTACGTAAATACGAGCATTTCCCGGTGGTACAAGAATTTCAGTTTTGATTAAACATCAGACCTTTGAGAATAAATATGCTTACTTCAAATTCGAAAAATATTTTCGAATGATTATGGTTTTGCTTGTATACTAAAAGTTAATTCCTTCTAAAAAAGTAGAAGTCACTAAAAACGAAATATCCGAAAGGGCTGACGAACGAATTAGGGCGAGAAGAAATGCTTTAAGCCCATGCATGATCGCGAAGATCGTGTGCAAGAGTCCCTTAGGACAYACAGAATGGGCTTAAGTAACGAYGATACTGAATGTGCAGCGAAGTAGGCATGAGGGAAACGTTGGAATAGCGTCTATGACTCTGTCCAGCACTATCTACACAGAGAACCTCCACATGAATGGCGTGACAGTATAACTTAACCTTCTCATTAGCTATATTAGAGTCAAGGCTTAACTCATAATAATTAGTCCTTTGTAGACGTGTCATCAAATCATCTGTCATAATGGTCATCTGTCAATACAAATTCTTTATCGACGGCCATTCAAAAAAGCCAATTGAGCACATCATTGCCTAAAAGCAACTAACCTCGAATTAGTATTCCTTACTTGTGCATTCAATTGTATTTGTTTTGCTCTGCTCGCACTGTGTGGAATGTAAGCTATGCAAGTAGTTGTTGGATATGGGCATCACCTCAGTGATCTCACTCCAATTGCCTCGCGAACGGGCAACGAATCACATGATCGCTTTATTACTTTATTTATTTATTTTTCTACTTTTTTATATTATTTTTATTTTGTTTTTCCAAAGACAACATTCATTTGAATTGAGCTCAGCATTTAAATTGGCAGTCAGAAGAATAAAAGTCGTGAAAAGGTAAAAAAGGATCGATCAAAGCGATCTCGTACAGACAAATATGGCGGATCAGCAACACTCATATATACAAATCGGTGTTCAAATATATACTTTCGGTGACAAAGTGCAAAAAGAATTTCGTTATACACGCTGTCCATAGATTAAAAGTGTGTAAAAACAGAAAAAAAAAATTCAAAAACCGTTAGTTTGTTAACATACAATATTATMGAGAGTCTTTCTTCAAAGGGTTTCGAACAGCTTAGTGACTGCAGAGCTTTGCCGTAGTAAACGTAGAACCCATGAGTTTCTTGCTTTGCCYAGTTCTTTCCTCAATTTATCTACAGCGTCGAACTTCCTTGGGACAGGTAGAGGACAGTTGACAACTTTTTTTAAGTACTTGATTTGCTCGTAAAATACGGTATACATAAATGCCAATAAATCAATATKCATATACAACTTATATAGCCTTGTCCTCAACCGAGGCGTTAATAGAGTAATTAAATAACTCGTTCGTATTAAATATGGTATATWTGTATGTATGTATGAATACACCTACCGATGCAGTGAAGTGTCTGCTACAAATGTAATGGTATTCTTTGCTGCACATATGTAGCGTATTAAATTTTTATAAGGAGCATGACTCTCAGTTTTTGCTTGGCACTCTGTTCTGACCGTGACAGAAGAATAACACGAACTTTCCGTGTCATTCCTAAGCATTCCAAAGGTTGCAAGTTCAACTGAGCAGCGGGAATTAAGCATGAGAGCATATTTGTGCATGTCGATACCCGGCAGGAAAATCAAATCATAAATATTTTGACATAAGGAAGTCATAAACAATTCACTTTTGGAGCTTTCACACAAGAGGTGACTTCGCGAACAATCACAACTTTATTTGRTTACGAGATCAAACAGGTATACATATGTATATGTATGTATCTACAATTATAGATTAGCATGCATGCGCTTTGAACTCGGGGAAATTATGTTTCCATTTATATTTGCCATTTGCGTGCAGCGAAAATTGCGACAAACGCTCGATTTTTCAATTATAATCATTCCATGAAAGGCGCAGCTGAGCGTTTGTACAATTTTCTACATGCACACATTCAAAGGTGGTATGCTACATGAATGTGAATGTGTCAGCGAGACCCAGTTTCCGCTTCCGTTGTACCTACATGCATATATGTATATAATAGGTGTTTCTGTTTACACTGTGAAATGTGTAAGTGACCAAGAAGAGACTGAAAATTATTGGCTGCGGTGATTGCAGCAGCGTGGAGCTGTCTATTGACATGCTTATATGCCTGTATTTGTGTTGTCTCCTATGCACTAATAATATGCCAACGCTAAATTGGAGAAATTCTATTTMTTGCATATTTTTGCAGCATTTCATCAGTTGATCAGGATTTCGAAAGAAACTTCTTACTTGCTACCTAAAATTACATGAAAGTGTGTGTGTGTGTTTGATGATTATAATAATAGTTGGAGATATTTATATAATTTTATACACGAACTAAGTAATTGACGAACAGGTTTCAGTAATAATAGGTAATCACGAGATAAACGCGGCAATTAGTTGGACTGTGTAGACGCTGTACTAGTAGAATAATAAGGGAGCAATGTTATTGGCCGGACTTACAGAGTATAAGCTTGGCTACTTGAAAGTTAGCAGCAATGAAATATTTATAGTTTCTTTGATGTATTTTAAATGTACAGTAAGACCTCGATTAAATGGAACATGCCAAACTAATTATTTTCACACAGATTTTATGCAAAGTAGAGTAATCTATTTCTATATACGGTGTGTATGCATACTTTAGTATATCTATTGGGTAGTCGAAAAAGTCTTTTCGWATTTTGTCAATRGATGTCGTTGCAGTCATATGTATGTATATCTCCAGTGACTGCCGAAAAGACCTTTTCGACTACCCAATATATTTGTAACATACATATTATACATATACATATGTACATTCATATCTAAGTATAAGCATTTTGTTGACTGCGTGCATGTGAAAAATCGAAGTATTACACAAACACAAATTTTTAATCTCAGAAGCAGTCATTGCATCGTTTTGTCCTCGTTAAACCACTATATAATGTATATATATGTATATATAAATATAAATATGGCTTTACATACATATCTATATGTGAGTGAGTTTACTTATTGGCCTTTTTGCATTGTCCAGCGGTAAATATAGTCTTCACGCAAACGAAGTGGCACAAATGATTACTACAAATATCAATGAAAACTCGAATCCGAACTTGCATCTATACATACGCGCATACATAAATACTATATATATGTATATGTGTATAAAAATACTGTTTGTGTACTCGTATACTGAATTACTTGTTTTGTTGTGTACTTTAAACTTTACACCTGTAACCGACTTGAGCGATCACAAAATGCATCAATGTAAATTTCCAATGGAATTATTAATGACTGCAAAGAGACGGCGGCATAAAATGCTAAATAATTAACTAGGGGTTCAATACACTCCGCGACCTTACGTGTGTGCGGCGTGGGCTTGTTCAGCAAAAGCTTTGACAATTACTAAGATTATGTAGACCATGGCGTAGAAACGGGGAGATTTTACAAAATTGGCTGTGTAGTGATTGACTACCGCAAAGGGGTTGCTATCACTCCCATTACGCTTGGCTTATACGCAACCACCCAGTCACCACAAAAAATGATAGATAAAGTCGGCTCAAGACCAAACCGAGTTATGATCCCACCAACTACTTAAATTTGCATTCCTGAAATCATGATTCCAAAACATTAAAATTTACGGTATCAAAAGTTATGACTCAAAGAAAGAGCGCGCGCTTCGAAAGTTCTGAATATCGAGTTAAGCACTTATTCCTTGTAGATACTGATACGCTTATATRTATGTGTATGAATGTACACGTACATCACCCAACCAAACGGTTA